ACCCAGGATCTAAAATAAAAGAAATATGAACGTTATTAATGTTCATTAAATAAATTAATAAAAAATATTTTTTGAAGGTTTTACCTTTGATATAGGAGTCCAGAAACTTGTCTTTCAGCTTCCTTTACCTAAAAAAAGAAGTATGAACATTAGTTAACGTTTGCCAATAAATTAATTAAAAAAAAATTTTTTGAAAGTTTTACCTTTAATATGGAAGTCTGGAACTCGTTTCAGCTTCCTTTACCTAAAAAAAATATGAATGTTTACAAAAAAATTTGAAGAATATACCTTCAAAATAGAAGTCCAGTGACATTTTGAATCTATAAAAATAAAGATGAACATTAGAAAGCCATTAATTTACAAAAGAATAAAATTAAAACATTAGTAACATTTTGCTAAATAAAACAAAAAAAACAAAGTTTTTTTTTCGGTTACTTTCAAAATGGATTTCAGCAGCATTCTGGACCTACAAAAAATAAGAATGAACGTTCGTTAAATAAAATTAAATTTTTTTTTAAAAATTTAAAGGTACTTGTTACCTTCGAAATTCTTCTGTCCAAAAGTTGACTGGAAAAACCTAAAACTATAAAAGAAAAGACAAACAAAATATTAGTAGATGTTTCATTAATAAAAAAATAAATAAAATATAATTTCAAAGGTAAATACCTTTAAAATTCTGAAAAAATCTCCCTTCTATTCCTTATATACATTACAAATCCGGTTTGTTCAAAGAAGCTTGGTGTCCCTATAAAAAATAAGAAAAAAATGTTAATACATTTCTTTAATATTAAAACATATCCCCTTCACCCTCCATTTCTTACATTTTCCAGTCTGGTTCATTCAAAGAAAACTGGAGTCCCTATAATAAAGAAGAAAGAATGTTAAAAACGTTCTTTTATAAAAGATAAAAAAAAATTATAAGTTTCGCAATAAGATGTTGCAAAATTTACCATTTATCAGTTTCAGATCCTTGAGTATCAAAACTTACAAAAAAAATAAAAGAGAAACGTTAGTATAAAGTTTTTTAAAGAAAATAAAAAAAATGGTAAAGTTTAGATGTTGCAAAATTTACCCTTTTAATACCTATTTTGAACTTGAGTACCAAAACCTATAAAATAAAAATATAAAGAACATTAGAAATGTTTTTTAACTTTATAAAAATGAAAAAAAAGTATAAGTTTTATAATACAAAACTTACCATTACCATAAAACTGGAGAACTAAAAATCTAAAAAAATAAGAATAAAAGGACATTAGAAACGTTCTTTTATAAAAATAAAAAAAATTTAAAGTTTTGCAACAAATGTTGCAAAACTTACTGTTTACTTATTTTGGGAAGCTTGGAGTACTGAAACCTATAAAAAAAATTTTTTAAAAAATGTTAGTATAATGTTCTTAACAAAAAAATTAAAAAAAAACAACAAAAAATACTTCACTGGCTTACCTCGCATCCATTTCATCTTTGAATGCATGGTTTAGGGAGCCGTTTTCTATAAAAAAATCAAAAAAGAACATTAGTAAACATTCTTAACGAAAAATATTAAAAAAAAACATTTTTTATCCCTGGCTTACCTTGTATCCATTTCATTCAGGAAGCCATTCTCTATAAGAAAAAATCAAAAAAGAACGTTAGTAAAACGATTTTAATGAAAAAATTAAAAAAAAACAATAAATTTCTTCTCCTAGCTTATTTTACGTCCATTTCATCTTTGAATGGTCCAGGAAGCCATTCTTTATAAAAAAAATCAAAAAAGAACATTAGTAAATATTAGAGATCCCAGGCGAAACCAAAATATTTAGTCATTTAACTAAACTGAAATAGTTTAGACATTTAAAATTAAAAGACGAAATGCCAAAATTCAATATTCCATAGTATTTCCATGGATTTTTTATAGATTTCCATGGATTTTTAATTATTAATAATTACTTATAAAAAAAATAATAATAAATTTATATTAAAATATAATATTTTTTAAAGGAATATATAAATCTATTATATATATAATATAAATTCATATATTTTTATAATAAAACTATAATTTTAAAATTTAAACTTAAAAATTATTACTATATAGTTTAGTCAATGACGAAACCAAAACTGGTTGGTGACGAAACTGAAATTTTTGGTAAAAAGAGTTTAGCCAGGTATCACTAGTAAATATTCTTAATGAAAAAAATCAAAAAAATTGTTTCACAACAAACTGTTGTGAAACTTACTATTTGGAAATTCCCATTTCAAAGGTTTCAAACTGAAACAGACCTACAAAAATAAATAAGAGAAATGTTTGTATAAAGTTTCTCAAGGAGATGTTGCAAAACTTACCCTTTACTCATTTTGGAAACCTTTGGAGTACTAAAACCTACAAAAAAAAAGAAAAACAAAATATTAGCTAATGTTTCATTTAAATAAAAACAAAAAAAAACAGAATTTTGAAGTTTATCTTTGAAATTCTGTCCAAGAGCATTTTATTCTACAAAATACAAAAATGAAATGTTAGAAAATATTTCATTAAATAAAATTATTAAATTTTTTTTTTCAAAGGTTTTACCTTTGATATAGAAGTCCAGAACTCGTTTTTGGCTTTTTTTATCTAAAAAAAAGAAAATATGAATGTTACTAACATTCATCAATAAAATAATTAAAAAAACAATTTTTTGAAAGTTTTACCTTCAAAGTAAAGTCTGGAGCTGTTTTCAGCATCCAGGATTTCAGAAAAAAAGTAAAACAAATGATAATACTGTTCATTAAATAAAAATATAAAAATAAAGGTTTGAAGCTGTTTTTAGCATCTAGGACTTAAGAAAAAAATAAATATTTGAAGTTTTACCTTTGAAATAAAGAGTCCAGAACATACTTTCTTGAAGTCTACCTTCAAAATGTCTAAAAGAAGGTACAAACTTCATTAACTTCGAAGAAACTCAAAGCTTAAATAAAAACACTAAAAAATATTGACTAATTTTTTGGTATCTTTATAGTAGTTTATTTTTTTTTAAAAGATGGTGAAAAAAAAATATTTTTTCAAAGTGTTGTAAGAAAAATTATTTTTTTTTTTAGTGTTGCAAAAAAAAGTTCTTTAAAAAGTTTGTGTTAAAAAACAAATGCAAAGTTTATCAAAATAAAAACTGAAAGAAAGTTTGTAAAGTTTATCAAATAAAAAAAGAAAATGTGAAAATCTCCAAAGATTTTTATTCAAATTTTTGCAATTTTGAAGATTATCGCAGATATTTATATAAAAAATTGTTAAAAAAATGTGAAAACTTAAATCTGCAGTACTATGCAGATTTTTACTAAAAATTGTAAAAAAAATGCGGTAATCTGCAAAAATTGCAGATTGCTGCAATTCTATGCCATAAAAAATTTACCGATGAATAAATCTAATAAAATTCATGGTATGTATATAATATATATACACAGTGAAATTCAATAAACCGGATCTTTGATAAACTGGATTTAGACCTAAACTGAACTTTTTTGCTGGAACTAAATCATATATATTAAAATAGTTTTTATATACTGGAGTTTACTAGTAAAAAATCGATATTCGATATAAAGGATCTATTTTCTAACCAGCTATAGTAAAAATGATTTGATAAACCAGATCATGTGATCATTAACCAATAAAATTTAAGTAACATGATGTGGTAAATCTTAATTTTGGCCAGAATTATAAAAATCTTAATTCTGGCCAAAGTTATATGCTACTTATATATTTAATAGTTAAAAATATTTTATATTTATTTTCATAACCTCTATGACTTAAAACTAAGATGAAAAATTAAAATATAGTGTAGATTAATTTTATTAGCATGAATTTTTTTTAAAAAAATTCAGTATAATAGATTTTAAATATATCAAAATTTATTCGCTATACCAGATATCCCGATAAATCAGATATTTTTAGTGGAACTAATAGATCTGGTTTATTGAATTTCACTGTGTATATTATTTGATTATTAATTAAGATTCAATATCAGAAGATACCAATGCTACCAATGATGAAGATGCCAATACTAATAATGGCAAAGATGCTGATATTAACAGTAATGAAGATGCCAATACTAACAGTAATGATACTAATGATGATAATGTTGTTGTTGATACTAACAATGATGAAGATGCTGATACTAACAATTAAAGCTCCGAATGGTTCGGGCTAAACCGGGGAACCGATCCGAAACTGGCTCAAAATTCGGTTCAGTTCAGTTCGGGTATTAGAACCGAAAAACTGGCAGTTTAATCTGATTTTTTATAAAAATGCGAAAAATCAAATAGCCGGCCATCTAGTGATCGTACAAAGTCGAGCCATATATCATTGTATTCGTCTCGACGAGACGCGTCGAATGCTAGTATGATCATGTCTCTAGC